ACAGCTGAGTTTGGGTTCACACATGAAAGAAGTTTCTGGGGAGTTATTTGGTGTTGCAAGCATTTGGGTGTTGATAAGAACCTAGGTCTCCAGGGGATTCTATTTTTAAGAGAGACTACATGGGACAAAACTAATTAACTTTATAAAGAAGGATTTTCTACAATCTGATCCTCTCTGCATCCATTTCTGTATATATGATCAGCAGTTGTTTTGCTTTGAAATTTGAGATTTGAGCAAGTTAATTCAGCCCCAGGGGACATCTTAGCAACTCTCCTGGCTTATTCTATAAACCTATTTCGTTTATACTCTCCATGGTACATGTGTGTTCTGATTTCACCCTACACAGAAGGGAATGATAGGGAATTGATAGGTTCACTGGCTCCTTCCCCTACTGCTCACTCTCTGTTTACCCTACCCCTACCTATGTGCTTATAAACCTCTGTTGTCCCAGAGGGCAGGGCTGGCCCAGTTTATACCAGCCTCTTATGCTGAGGCTGTTCCATATATGACTTAGATTTATGGATTCATTCAAAACTGCTCTGATTCTCTCTTGATTCTATGCTGTGTAACTCTTGGAGCATTTAGCAGGGAATCTATCAAGTGGGAAATGGAACGGGGCTTCTGGAAGGATGGATTTTAGCCTTCCAGCTCCAACACAGACACACATTATAACTTAGCTGACCACTCTCTTCAGCTGCCTTTACACTCGGGCGTGGGCCGTGCGTCTGTTAAGTGTGAACTGTGGACCTGTCACTGCTGAAATGTCTGGGAATCCATGGAGAGAAGCCCCTCGCCCACATCGCCACCCCCTCCCCCATCCAAGCACTACTGCCTTCAAGAGCCCACATAGCATCTTGCCTGCCTCTTCCTCCTCATCCTTTTCTATTCTTGGCGCCGCGTGTTCACAGCTTTCTCATCAGTACAGCCTAGGTGCTGAACATCCCTGATCAAAGTGAAGTAGAAAGGGCCGGGGGGGGGGGGGGGGTACATGCAAGCCCCACCCACCAGAGGCTGGTTGCTCCAGTAACACTTCTCCCCTGACAAAGGGCAAATGCTACAGCTGGCCCTTTGGCATAAAGAGAGACTGTGCCCAGAGTTAAATTTCCTACATGCTCACGTGGTGACCATTTTGAACTCTGGAGTTTGTCTATTGTGGGCTCAATGGCTGAGCTCTTCTTAAAATCATTTGAAGTCCAAAGAAATTCAATTTTCCTGTTTGTTTAATGTTGTGCTAAGTTGCTTTAGTCGTGTCCGACTTTTTGCAATCCCATGGACCATCCACCAGGCTCCTCTGTCCAAAGGATTCTTCTGGCAAGAATACTGGAAAGGGTTGCCTTTTCCTATTCCAGGGGACCTTCCCCATCCAGGGATCAACTGTTTCTCTTATCTCTCCTGCATTGGCAGGCAGATTCTTTACCACTAGTGCCACCTGGGAAGCCCTTGTTTAATGGGTGGGGTGATATAAAAAGATTGATCCTCTGCCTACGCCTCTGTTTATTCCATTCTTTGCATTTAAGTGCAAACTCAAAACCTAGAAATGTGAAACTGCCCACCCAGGCCTCACATTTTTTGAAATGAAGGGCTGGGAGCATATTTCAAAGCATCAGCCGATCATTTGAGACCTGGATGGGAGCCCCAGGAATAGTGCTGAGCGCAGCTAACACACACATCTTGGCTCAGAGCAGGCGAAGAAGAACAAGTTGGGAAGAATAATCAAAGATTCTCAGATGGTGAGAGTCTGGCTCGTTTATGTGGGCTGTGCTATTTACATCGGAAAACAAACAAGCCATCAAAAAACAGTATGGCCTAGCAAATTGACAAACTGTACCAAAGTAACCACTCCAGAATTACATGAATCACAGCATGTTTTGGAATAAAAGCAGATGTTGTTTAAGAAGCACGTTACTGAGTATGATCTGTGTTGAGGTTGAGCACTGGGAAAGGCAGCTGACTTCTCTTACGAGGGAGGCTGGTTCTCCCTGGGGCCCCCGGTGTCCTGTGGGCTTCCTAGCTCTCCTTGAGTTTCTCCGTCCTCCTTGAGATCTGGTTGACCTAATGGTGACTTGACAACCTAGGGATGTGACTAGGGAGGGGAGCCGGGGTGGCGGGAGACAGCACCCCAGGCAGAGATCAAGTCCATCATCAGGGTGATATGCCTCTTCTTGGTCCCATCTCTCTGCTTCCTTGGGTGTTTCTCCTAGCTAGAATGCTTTGAAGAGTTGTAATGACTGGAACATCTTATCTCTTGGCACTTCACTTTTATCCTTCATTCCCAGACCAACCTTCAGGAAGCAAGTGGAGGTGACTTCCCAGTTGGAGATGATGGCCAGATGAAGAAACCCAGACAGCTCCCACTTTTCTCTCTTTCCTGTCATCCTACTCTGTTGCTTTCCTACCATCTCTCTCTGAAATTTATTCTTTTTATTTTTAAACTTATTTGTTTTAATTTTTCCTTCATCCCTCTCTCTGAAAATTATTTTGTTTGCATCTGTGTTAATTGCTTGCCTCTGCCTGTCACAGAAAGTAAAACCCATGAGGGCAGTACCTCACCAAGATGGTAGCCTCACCAAACAATAAGATGAAGGCTTCCTTTGAGTTTTCTTTTTGAAGAAGAGAAAAAAGCTGAAGGAAATATAAGAACTGGGGCCCTGGGACCTAAGAAGATACAACTGGGTCACTGTTGGACTCTGAAATCCAAAGAGCTGAGAAGAGGGATCACTGGCTGGCCCAGAGCATCACCCCTGGGTCTGGGTAAGCATGGCCAGGCCAAACTCATCACACACAGATACATATGATGTTCAGACAAATATACACATGTACATTAGAAGGACCGACGCTAAAGCTGAAGCTCCAATACTTTGGCCACCTGATGTGGAGAACCGACTTTTTTTATATATAAAAGACTCTGCTGCTGGTAAAGATTGAGGGCAGGAGGAGAAGGGGGTGGCAGAGGATGAGATGGTTGGATGGCATCACAGACTCAATGTACATGAGTTTGGGCAGACTCAGGGAGGTACTGGAGGACAGGGAAGACTGGCATGCTGCAGTCCACGGGGTCTCAAAGAGTCTGACACAACTTAGCAACTGAACGACAACACGGAGCCCGAGTCAGAAAAAACCTGTGCTGTATCGTTTCAGACTTGGCTGTGGAAGGAGCTTCATTTTCTAAGCCTACTCACTTTCATCTTCTTGTATAGAGATGATGTTTCCAGCTAACCATTTAAAAAATAGAGCATCTCTACACACATTCCCTCCATCATCGTGATATGGTAGCCTTCCTCAAAGTGGATTTGTTTGGACAGATGTCAGTACACGGCTAGAATTCCCAGCGGGGAACATGCAGGCATGGCTTTTCTGGTGGTGGTACACGCATCCCCCTGCTCAGCCCTGAACATGTGCCAAAGGGGTTTGTGTGTGTGTTGGAGGCAGAGGAAGTGGCTGCTATTTGAAGCTTCCTTCGGAAGCTCTGTGTCAGCCAGTGGTTAGGCAGCCTGCGGTCCAGGGGAGAGGACTGAGCTACAGTTAGAGGTGATGCCCTGGTCACTGAGCCGCGTCCCCATCAGGAACCCTAGGCTCTGCGATCAGTGGTACAACACACACACTTGCCATCACCTTCATCTCATCTGAGACGCAGTGGTGGCTCCCATAGCGCTCACCTGTCATTCACACTGCACAGTGCTCGCCTGAGTCACAAAGGCCCCAGGGCCACCCTCCCGTGGGAGAGTGGCTGGAGGCTGAGAGTTGACTGTGCTGGGTGCCGGGCTGAGAGCAGCGTGGCAGGGGCACCGTGCGGGCGAGTCAGGAGCCTGGAGGTGATAAATGCCTGGAGCGGACTTTAGCGGCATCTTGTTCAATATGGCAGAACTTTGGAGGGTAGGGGGGTGACAAAATAAAAAACAAAAAACACGGTTTTCCCACTCTTGGAGGGGTGCATCCCCAAAACAGATCTTAACGGGCATGGTGACAAAAGGACATTTTCCCTCTGCTGGCATCGTCTGACTCTCCCACATATTAAAAGGTACCAAAGCCAAGTTTCCAAGTACATTTCAAGGTGTCGCGGAGGGAGTCTGGTGAAAGGACTGGGTCACCTGCCTGGTCAGTGAGTGAGTAGGAGGGGTTAGCTTCCTGCCCGATGACCTTTAACCCTTCAACTTAACCTGTTGCATTTCATGCCATACTGGTGTTATCACTCACAGGAGACAGGCCCTGTGCATAGAATCTGGGGTCCCCGGGAGGAGGACATGCCCTCTGGCTGAGGCCCAGATGGATCCCCATCTTTTACAGTGCTCCCACTGACAGTCAGAGGGGCAACACGGCGCCTTCGTAAAGTGGGGGCTGTAAAGATGGGGATCTTCACTGAAGTGCGTGGTCGGGGTTCAGAGGCCCCAAGGTGGAATTCTTAACAGCAAAGCTCACAGGCTGGCCAACGGGAGCTGACAAGAGATGGCATCTTTGCCACCATCTCCACCAAGGTTCGAAGTCACTCTCAGGCTCTAGAAAGAGCAGGTGACCTTGGAGTGCCAGTGTGCGGGAACGAGACCCGGAGCAAGTTGGCCCGGGACCCAGTACTCCTGCCCAGATGAACGGGGCAATCACGTATTTCTGAGTTACGCTCTGACATACGCGCACACACACTACGAGGATATATTCCTTTAATTTTGGGAACTGGAAAATTCCTTTAATTCGGTCTATGCTTGTATAACACAAAGATGGCCAAGAATCCGCCAGCCAACCCCCCTCCCCCATTCTGATGCTCAGGCCCGTTTGTAAGTGGCCGGCCACACACGTGTGCACATGGCTATTAGGAAGCTTCTCCAAACAACTCAATGAAAAAAGATCGTATTTATATGTATAGAGATTATATATATATATGTATGTACGTATGTAGATAAAACCATGGTGATCTTCATTCTGGCCCAACATAAGAAATCACACACCCGGTGCCACTCACCAAATACCCAGCAAATGCAGGACATGCCATTCGAGGGTCTTGTCTGCGCATCACGGCCGCCCCAGGCTGGACAGCGATGAGACACCAGGTCACCAGAAGAATATGCTCACGCGTGGAACTGCATTTCCAGTGTATGCATATATATGTGTGGACGTGTGTGTATGTGCACGTGTGCCTGCGTGTGAGCCTGCAAAGTAGAAAACACCAGTTCATCCTGTTCATACTAAGCATGTTAAAGAAATCAGATTTTGTAACCGAGAACACATTTTTTTTTTTAAAAAGGAACATTGAAGGTTTTCAAAAATTGCTACGGTACAAAAAAGGGGTGTGTGTGTGTGTGTGTGTGTATCTGTGTGTCTTTATATATTTATATATGTATATTAACCAGAAATAGTGACTCTACAGAAGAGATGCCCACTCCTGTTTTCTGTAAGTTTACTCCTCATGGTTCGCTTGGCTTCGGCTTTGTCACCAAGTCTCTCGGGTCAGTACATGGCACATAATGGTATTATTGGCACAGGTTCAGAATCGAAGTACAAACTCCAGCTTCTGGTGCGTCCTCCTGCCCTTTTTCTGTCTCCGGGTCCTTCTGCTGGGTCTTCTTTCTGTTTCCCAAAGGAGCTCTGGGAGAAGGCAGTCCCCCATAGGCGTCAGCATTTTTATAAAAATATATTTGGCCTATAGCGTCCTGCTCTGAGAGTTCCCCACCGGCAAACAGAAGTGGTAGGGGTGGGGACCCTCCCCTTAGATAGTTTAGTTTTAGGTTTTGTGGGTTTTTTTGTAATTTTTAATTTTTTTACAGGTTCACCAACGGAATCCTGTGTGGAAAGAAAACAAGAAGAGGTTAAATGGCAGTGGGCCAAAAGTAGTAGGTGTCTATGAGGCCCCTCTGAGCCTCTGTCACTGAGACCCAGGTACACAGCTGCCTGGCTAAATGACACGCAAGTGTCATCCTGGGGGCACCAACGCTATCTCGCTGGACCTGGTCACCAAGGACGGCTACAAATGCTAGGAATCCTGAGGGGCCCTCGTGTTAATTACAGTAATTGACAGCATGGTCCTCCTGCCTTTGAGGGAGGGGCCTGAGCTTCCCAAGAGGGCACTGGGACCACCCCTGCACTAACTCATGAGCAGGTATGGCATCCCAGGCTTGCAGGCGACTGAATGCATCCAGCATCCTGCTCGCTCCCCTTCCAGCTCTTGCTGCCAAGGGCAGAGGGACTGCCAGCTCCAGTCCTGGGCTGCAGGAAGCAATGGAATCCATTTTAATCCTGCTCAGCTGGAGCAGGGCAGGAACTTGGGGAGGCTGATGGACTGCATCAGAAAAACCACCCCTTGGATCTCCCTAAGAAGTGATGTCACTGGAGAGAGGAAGAAAGTGAAATGCCCTGCATGCAGGCCAGGTCAGATGGCTGCAAAGAAGCAGCTGGCTTTTGCCCAGTTTGAGGGTGCTGCCTCAGAAAGTTGGGACCCCAAAGTCATCCTGCCTCAGTGATAGACCCTGAGGTCAGCATCCCCCAGGAAGACAGAGAGATACAGCCGTCCTGGGCATGGCCAGGTAAGTCAGAATGAATGCCCCATAGCTCAGCCCCGGGTTGGGGGAGGGGGTTGGCTCAAAGCTGCTGTTCTGTTACAAGGGTGGGGTGGTGTCTCTCTGCTGTCACTCAGAGTCCTCGTCCCCACTCCCACAATGACAGGAAATCGGACCCTCAAATGGTACAAAGAGGATACCATGGCAGCCTTCTTCTAAATGGACTCTGGGGTAGGGTTCTTTCTCTTGCATCAATTAAGCCCCCCCAGGTGAGCCTCCACAGGACAGAGGGCTGAAGGGCATCCAGGTGCAGGGACACACCTGCAGCCCGCAGGAGAGCATCTGGACAGCACTGCATCCATCATCTTCTCTGAGGGCCTCAGCACATGAAAGTCTACTCCATCGGGGTGGGGTGGCAGTGCCTGCTCCCTCTCTGGGACCCCTTCTAGTCTGGATAAGAAAGGCAGGGCGTCGCCTTGCCCAAACAAATGACACCTGTTTGGGCAACCCCAGGAGGCCCAAATGGGGCATCTACTCATCTCCTGTGGGATGGTCCGCCCTGCTGTGAGCAGGAGTGTGATGAAATGGATATCTGGTCAGCTGTGTGCTGGACCACCCTCGGGAGGGTTACTCCAGCTGTCTCCCTCACCTCCCCCCCCCCCACCACTCTGACCCCTAGGCTCTCTAGGATCTGCAGGGAGGGAGGGAGTGTGGTTAAAAAAGTGAAACCATTAAAGCAGAATGTCCATCCTGTATATCCACCTTCTTTTTAATCTTTAGAAAGTTAAAAAATGTGGAGACAAATCCTTGATGATACCACTTATAAGAAGTCCTCAGAGTTGTCAAGCTCCTGGGGACAGAGAGTAGAAGGCTAGGTGCCAGGGCCAGGGGCTGGGGGGGGGAGTCAGTTTCTAAGGGGGGCATAAGAGCGGTTCCGGAAAAACAACAAGAGTTGTGGAGGTGGACAGTGGCGGCGGCTGCACAATTGTAAATGCACTTAATGCCACAGAACTGTTCCATTAAAAACAGTTAAAAGTAAAATGGTCACTTTTATGTGATATATAGTTTACTACAATTTTAGGAACTTAAGAAATATATTGGGGGACTTCCCTGGCGGTCCAAGGGTTAAGATTTCGCCTTCCAATGCAGGGGGTGTGGGTTGACCCCTGATAGGGGAACTAAGATCATACATGCCTCATAGCCAAGAAAGCAAAACATAAAACAGAAGTAATATGGTAACAAATTCAACAAAAGACTTTTAAACAATGGTCCACATCTTAAAATATACACATAGATACATAAATCTTAAAATATATACATATTGAAAAAATATTGTTGCTATTGTTTAGTCACTAAGTTGTGCTCAACTCTTTGCAACCCCATGGACTGCAGCACGACAGTCTTCCCTGTCCTTCACCATCTCCCAGAGTTTGCTCAAACTCATGTCCATTGACCATTGGGTTGGTGACGCTATCTAACCATCTCATCCTCTGTCACCCATGAAAAAATATGGGGACAGTAAAACCCAGGCCTAGTGACCATCTGCCCAGATCTGGGACAGTCTCTAGTTTGAGCTGCTGCCCACTGTCCCATCAGGTTGACCACCTGGCCCCTCCCTCAGATGTGTCCAGGGTGGGACCTGGAGTCACAGGGCCTCCTTTCCTAAGAAGGGAGAACTGCAGCCTGGGGCTGCTCTCCAATCCTTCCTGGCAACCTTAACCAGACAGATGAGGGAGAAGCTGCTACTGCTTCTTCCCTGGGGCCAGCTGTCTCCTGAGGTTTTCCCAAACAGACATTATCTGCTAAAAGGCTAAAAAGTCTCCAGTGCTTCTGACAATGGCTCCTCAGATCCTTGAGGACAAGTGCCCGGCCCCTCTTGCCCCATCTCTCCCTCTCCTCTTTCTGGGTGGGTGTCTGGCTTCAATAGCAAATCTCTGACCTGAAAACCCCCAAGTTTCTGCTGACTGTTACCTCCCTGGGGAGACCTTCGTGGATACCCCTTCCTTTCCTAAGAATGTTCTGTTTCATCTCTGTTAGAGCATCTGTTTCTGTGACTCCTCAGGCACTGGTTTGTACCTGAGTGTGTGTACATCACACGTCACCCAGGTGTCATGGTTGCCTACCAGGTCCTCCAAGGTTTGCCTGGGTACCAGTTCTGAGCCTGGCCCGCTGGAGGGAGAGCAACACTGGATGAAACTCAGAGAAGAGGCATCTGTGTGAAAGAAGCGTCCTCAGCCCTTTCTCTGTCTGGAATGACCTTCACAAACTGCCTGCCTGGGAGGATGGCTAGAGGGGCTCTTGGGCCACTGAGGGGGCCAAGCATCTTCAAAATTTACCAATATCTGCTTCTATCAGCATCTCGGGCACTTTCCTGGTGGTTGAGTCATTAAAGAATCTGCCTGCAATGCAGGAGACCCAGGCTCAATCCCTGAGTAGGGAAGATCCCCTGGAGAAGGGAATGGCAACCCACTCCAGTATTCTTGCCTAGAAATCCTATGAACAGAGGAACTTGGCAGGCTATAGTCCGTGGGGTAGCAAAGAGTCAGACACAAACGACTAACACTTTCACTTAAACTCTTTCAGGATGAAAAAGAGGGAGGTGGGATAGGGAAGGAGCGATGGCTCTAACTCTGCACCTTGAGTAGCTGTTGGAAGAGCAGTGCTGGCTTCCTGCAGAGGTGATGGTCCCCTGCAAGGAGGAGGAGAGGTCTCAGTTGCCAGGCCACCTTCCAGGCCTGCCCCAGTTCCTGCTGAAACCCTGCTGCTTGCACTCAACTTGAGGGGAAGGGCTGGGTTTTTTCTGATCCAAAGGCTCAGAGCAAGAGGCTCTCAGCCTGGCATTCACCCAGGGAGGGGCAGAGAGGGAGGTGCATCCTGCCTGGAGAAGGACACTGGCGAGGTCATATAGCTGGTGAGGGCAGGTAGGGGAGACTCTGAGCCAGAAGGGAAAGCTGTGGCTGGAGAGAGATCTGAGCAATCAGGGATCCAGGATGAATCCTGACTTGGGAGAAACCAGTGCCCTCTGCTGCCTGGAAGAGGATGGTCGGGTTCCATGGCCCCTGGAGCTGCAAACCACACGGGGGTCCTGGGCTTCAAGATCCACATCAGCTTCTGAGGAACAAAGAAAACAGGCAGTTGGCAGCAAGGCTTCCTGGAGAGTGAGCCTCTAGTTAGTTTCTCCACATCCCGAAAAAGCTCCTTGCACACCGGTTTCCTTGGTGCTGGTTCTCAGCTTGGGGAGAAAACGGCTTCCAGAAGGGTCTGAATGTTGCTTTGAAGAAAATGTTCCTTTGAATTACAGAAGCTGGATATTCTGTTAATGCATTTTTCAGAACAAGGCAGGAAGGCTCAGGTGCACTTGTTTTTTTATTAGTTATCTCTTCAGTGCATTTTTTTGAAAATAATAATAACGCATGATTTATTTCTCACTTGCTTCGGATGCAAGAGCTTTTATGAGTTCTCAGGCTGGAATGAAGTGGCCTTGGCAAACGGGAAGATCTGAACACTGATGAGGTTTTTCTGAAGTTTACTTGCTGCATGAAAAATGACAGGAAATTAGCCCAAGAGCCAATAACAGGCCTGTGTTCAAGGTCTCTTTCCTCGGAGTAGGAAAGGCCACCTCGTTTTGTCTTCCCAGCGTTCCATCAGGCTCCACTGAGGAGGAGGGTCCAGGGAAAAAGTTTGCTTGAATCTATCACAGAGGCTGAATCTAGGGAAATGAGCCAAATTTCTGCCCAGGTGGGGTCACCTGTGTCCACAAGCCCCAGAATCACCATCAAGCTGCCCACAGGGAAGCAGGGCTTGGGTCCCAGATGTGCGTGTGGGTTAGCGTGAGCTCACAAGACGGTGCTGTAACAAACTGCGGAAGCATCATTAAAAATGCATTTGGAGAGGCCTAACAGTTATGCAAGAGATAAATATCTCTGCTGGCTCTTAAACCTTAATTAAATGTTCCAGTATTAATTGCTATTTATTTAAGGGACAATAAGAATCCCAATAAATCTGAGCCGTCTTCCTGGCTCTCCACCGCTCCATCCTCACATCCAGGCATTAACTGTAGACATCAGGGACACTTCGAATGCGAATGCTTTCCTCCCAGTGAGTGACAAACAGCCCGTCTGACCCACCGCGAAGGCATGTGTAAGCGTTTATCAAGGATTAACAAGGCTGCTCACATGGACCTCCTGCTCTGTGTCCCTGGGAGGAGTTGGCTGGAGGGAGCCGCTGCCCTGAGTCCACAGGTGCTGTGGCTGAGCGTGCCCAGGCTCCAGCTGAGTCCTGCTGCCTCTTCTCACCTCCCCAAAATGCCCATCTGAGATCCATGGTGGGAGGGTCGAGCTCTCCAGACACAGAGGTGTCTTCCTATTGATGGGTTGGTCCTGAAATTGATCCTCACGCAGAGTTGGGAAGTGGGGTCTGGACACCTAGTGGAGAACATGGTCCTTGGGGCTCATCTGGGGTGGCACATGGGGAGAACCCACCCTTTAGCTCATGGGGTCCTTCTGTGTCCCGGGCTGCTAGAGAGAACTGGGCGAAGGGGACGGGAAGGTCTTCTGGACCAGAGGTGTGGATAAAAAGCACTTTCTCCTCCCAACCTGGTTTTCTTTTAAAGTCAGGTCTGCGGCTCCCTTGTTCGACCCTCGGCCCAGACTTTTGGAGGCTCCCAACTACAAGGTCCCCTGCTCTGCAGAGTCAGGCTGGGTGTCCCTTGCAAGGATGCCAAATCAGCTGGAGACCCCTCCCTCCTCTCCCACTACCTGAACTCCCTTCCCACTTAGGGTGCCGTCAGGGATGGAAAGGGGCACAGAGGCATTCCACCGGGAGTTGAGGAAGTCTGACCGGTGGGCAGAGTGTGGCCCTGGAGTCAGGTGGCCTGGGGTCACGTGGTCCCACCACTTACAACAGGACTGGCCTCAGGCAAATCACATGACCTCCCCATCTGACCTCAGTTTCCCATGTGTAAGTGGGATTGCCGAGAAGGCTGAATGGGTCTCCATGTGTCAAAGGTGTGCAGTGAGCTGCCATGTGCATGCACCATTAGGGCAGTGTCTCCCCCATCCTCTCCAGATGGGGGCTACTTGGAGTGGAAGGCGTGTCCACCTCAGACCTGCAGGTCCGCAGCTCTTGGAGGAAGACAGCAGAAGTCTTTGATGTGCAGGGCTAGGGCCTCCCAGGTCAATACCTTACGCATATATGCATTTGTGAAATCCCAAAGGACATACAGGGGCTCACCTGGCCGCCCTGCAGAGGCCTCGCCGGGCAGGCGGGAGTTCCGTGGCTAACTGGGAGCTTCCCCATGACTTGCTCGGTTGAAACGCCAAAGGGAGCTTGTCCGAGGCCTTAATGAGATGAGTCACTTCCAGGCAGACAAAGGTGCAAGCATCTGATGGAGAAGCTGTGCCCAGGGCATGTGGCTCTTGAATGTCGGGCACAGCGCTTATCTCACCTGCCTGGCCCACACATCTCAGCAAAGGCCTCTGTGTGAGTAGGGGGTCAATTTCCATTTTAACCTCATTATATTCCTTCACCCATCGGCTAAACATAGTGCTAATCGTGTCGTTCTGGCTTCAGGACAGAAGTGAGGGCTGGACATTTGATGTGGAACAAACATACAATTCGCTAGGGCTGGGATTATTAACTGATTGATTCATACCTGCTTCTCCAAGCAGCTGGGCCCCCTGGCCCCTCAGAGGTTTTGTAAGCAGAGGCCTCTGAGGGTCCTGGTGCTCCTTAAGAAGATGGGGTACACCCAAAGGAGCCCTGGGCCCTCTTCCAATTCTGACAATGATATTTCCCACTCAGTCCCCATATCAGAAGGTGAGCAAAAGTAAAGAAAAAAAATTTTTTTTCAAATATGGATAACGCTAGAAACTGGATTCCCTGCTTCTGGAAGGGATGTGACATCATGCTTAGAGAGAAGACCTGGAGGAAAAAAGATGTTCTCTGTGAAAGAGCAAGATGTCATCCTTTGAAAACCCTAGCATCAAACAAGAAAACTGAAAACAAAAACAAAAACAAAAACCCCGGTTGCCTCAACTGACTGTTCATCCAGAGTGTGCAATCACTGGGGGCGACGAGATGCTCTTCCCCCCACAGCAGCCTGTGTGTTCAGGAGGTTCAGCACAGAAGAAAGCAATTTAATGTCAGCATTAAAGTCAATATCATTGAAAGCAAACCAAATGTTCCTATCCAGCAGAGCATGGCAAATTCATCCCTGTTTTGGTACTGGTCCCTGGCTTCAAATTAGTAGACGTCTCAACTCTTCACTTTCTCTCTTTATCATTTTCTTTCTTATCTCTTATTTTTATATTTCAAAACTGTATTTTAATTCCACTCGGTGTTCTCTCCCTACCCCCACGTAAAGACGGGATGGCGGCATGATGTCTGCCCACTGGGCTGGGGCTCTGATCTCCTCTTGTTTGGGGAAGTGAGGGGCGTACTTGTAGCTTGTTTTCAGACCTGGGGTGCCCTGCCCTACAGGCCTTCCTGGGAGATGGAGCAGCATGGGCAGAACTGGACAAGATTGCAGAGCAGGGGTTCCTAAGTCTGTTGCTCCCTCCCACCGGGATGTGGGGGCATTTCTAATGAGTGCAGCAGAGAGACCACATGCCCAGCCCTCTGGTTTGCGTCCAGGGCAATGATGCCCTTGCTGAGGCCCACCTGCCATGTCCAGACAGGCTCCCAGTATTCCAGAGGGGAGATGGGGGGTGGGGAAAGTCAAGCAAGGTCCAATAAGAGAGGTACGTACCATAAAACAGACACATGGCGTCTGCCCTGCCCCCAGGAGGTAAAAAAGACTTCGGCCAGTCAGCAGGAGATTTCAAACCATTTCTCAGACACAAAGGCCACAGGAATAAGATGACGATCAGAAGAAGAGGGCCTGCAGCAAGCAGAAAAATGGGCTTTCGAGGGCTCATATGTAAAACCTGACAGGCAGGCCGGTTGGGACCTGTTGCAGAAAACTGGCTTCTCCAGGAAAAAGAACCCCCAGAAGGTGATGCTTCACCTGGCCTGGACCCACTGGCCACCTCTCCCTGTGTTGGCCAGTTCCCTTCCACTCTGGGAGGCCTAAGAGGACACACAGTCCAAGGGTTCCGTGCCTAGGACGAATCTGGTGAAGATGAACAGAAATGCTATGTCTGGATTTCAGTTTTTCATTTGCAGGACGAGTGCAAAGCTCAGGGTCTCTGCCTCTGAGATCAGAGATTCCACCCACTTTACTGCACATTATGGAGAGGGAAGGGCCTGATGTCTAAAATGCCCCCTGCCTCCAGTTATTTTTGTCCCCTTTGAGACTGAGCTAATGTTTCCCAGAGCCAGTGAGAACCAACAGAGCATCACCTTCGGCCCCCGTGCAAGAAGCTGTTCCCTCCAGGGCGTCCACACCAGTCAGCTGTGCCTACCCCGCACATGGACAGGGTTCTCCCAGGACATGGGAGCAGAGAGGGTGACACAGTGAAACACCAGGACCCAGCCACTCCCTTTTCCTCCTCCCCCCAAGCCTGAGGTTCTGGGTGGCCAAGATTTATATCCAAATAGGCACACAGTCAATGAAATGATTTGAAAGTTTTTTCTCCAGTTCTTTGTGAACTAGGCCTTCGGGAAGGCTGGGATGCAACCCATGGGCTCCCCAGATGTGGTTGAGTAAAAGCAAAGTCATTTAGAGGGAAGGTCCTGGGGTTTCTGCTCTCCACTCTTCTCCCCTGGGGAGGGAGTATCTCAGAACATACAGTAGAGTCCAACGTGGAGATACCAGGAGAGGAGCAGCAGGGAGGTGTCTAAGGAACACCTCTTCACTCTCCAGGACAGGACAAGGCCAACATGAGCCACGGGCACAGCAGTTGAAGGCTTCCCTGAGTCTCCTCAACCTGGATTCTGGGAGGAGACCGCTAGGGCACCTTGGGCAGTGTCCCCGGTCACCACTCCCGTTGCTGACCCCATGCCCCTCAAGTCAGCCTGCTGTCCCACTCATTTCTTCCTAAGATCTTTAAGTCGTTGGAGAATTGTTTCTCTTTTAATTTACAAAATGATGCATGAATGTGTACTCACTTAGGAAAAAAAAAATAGCTTATTGATGTTTTAATCTAATTCCAGATAAACCTTCAGAAGCTGACTCAAGGGTTTCTTAAATATTCCCAGGGACGGTTTTAGAGACATGTCTTCTTTGAGGGATTACATATGACTCATTAAAAAGAGCATTTAATAACCAGGAGTCTGCTTGGTATTTGATATTTCTGCCAGATTTGCTGCTGACATTTTAGTGTTGGGGGTTCACAGATATTGACTGGGGAGGGAGGGACCCATCACGATTTATTGATATTTTGGAGGCTTGACTGAGGCTAAGAGGCTGGTTCTGGGCTCTGAGCTGTCTGCTCAGCTTCTAGCATGTGGGATCCAGCACCAAGCAAGACAGGTCCATCCACTGGCCAAGTGCAGGGGTCCAGATGTGAACCCTGGCACCTTAGTACGTCTACTCTGCCCCTCTTGTCTCATCTCAGCAAATGAGCTGCCTGCATGTGGCCCGACTGCATAAAGAGATAAGAAGGCTGCCTGACACCCATCCATAGACCTGGCATCCCCAGGAGGGGGCAGCGGCCAGCTCTGGCTCGCGCCTGCGCTTACCGGTTCCCATTAAACGTGGACTTGTACTCCCCGGCCGGGTGCAGCGTCTCGTCGGTGTAGACGGGCACGGATGCCCGGACACACTCGTGGGAACACTGGAGGGTCTCATTGTAGGCCGTGAAGATGTCCAGATTGCTGGGTACCCGGGCAGGTGTGAAGTCTGTCAGGTTCTGGCAGCTCTCCTCCTGATGGTTCGTCTTCCGCTGGTGGCTGTTCCTACGTGGGTTCCCACTCTGCGCGCAGCTAGGGGAAAGAGAGGTTGGGGTGGGGGTCGGAGTGGGGGTACGGGACTCAAAGGCGCAGAGACCCACCAGCATCTCCTGTGCTGATGCTAAGGAACCTTCACCTCCAGGCATTAATTACACATCATTTAATAGTAATTCGCAGTCTCTTCAGAAAGATCAACCACAAGCAATGGGCTCTTTTTTAAAAATAAAATAAAATTTGAATTTTAGATGCGACTATTATTGCAGGAAGGATTAAGGAGTGAGGGGTGGAGTTGTGTTATCAGGGAGCGGAGGTCTGGTTTGGCCAAGGAATGTCAACCCGGCGGTGGTACTGACTCAGTTTCCCCAGGAACGCCGAGATGGTATGGAAACGATGATCATGGGGAAAGCTCTGTGCACAGGTCGGGGCTGCCGTGGTTCATGTGGAGTGGACCAGGTAATTATCTTTGGGGAGAGAGAAGACTGGGAACTCTTATCCTCAGTCTCTCCTCTGCCCAGGCTCACAAGCTGGAAATGAAACCAGATCGTTTCAGTCTATGAAGAAGACTGTGTTTGTGCCCATGGGTACCTGCCTTCGTTCCCTGTTCTTTTGGACCACAGAGGCTTTCAGACACTGTGCAGACTGCACACATGGGTCCCACCCCTGTTGGCCAAGGGATTTGATAGAGAAGGTGTGCAGGGTCCCCTCCCAGCTCCAGGAGTCACCTCTAGGGTAAGTTCACAAGGATGGAAGGAAGTGTCATGCCCATGAAGGAGGGCGGGGAGGAGGAGATTTGAGACGGGGCAGTGGTTCTCATCAACTCATCAGTTCTTCTCTTCTACCTGCTTCACAGTTCAGAGCCTTTGTGGAGTGAGTGGGCTGCAAGGGGCAGGGTTTCATGAGCCTGTCCCCATATAAGCTGTGTTAATTCCCTGCCTCTTCCCAACGAGAGATATCCCGATAGCTGGCAGGGAAGACAGCCCATAAATGAAGGTGGGAAGATGGATGTGAAAGCCAGGGGACTCCCCCTACTCAACGTTATGGAACCACTCATTTACCCTGCTGGGTTGTCTTCCCCAAAAGACTCTTTGAGGGTCTGATGCAAACCCCAAAGTGTGGGAAAACCAAGAGGAAGCTTGTTGCCTGTTACAACATCACAGTCTGCCACCTCCTTGGTGGGGAGGGGATTTCACTCATCAAGACAGCCAGTGGGATCGGACCTGCCGAGCATCCACCCCTCCTCCAACCAGCCAGCCCTGCCCAAGACACCCTGCTGAGAGCTGACCATTATCTTCACTATCTCCCCCAGAAAACACCTCAGGTCCAGGGTTTGCTGGCCATCAGGAGCTCCAAGACCCCCCTGGGCTCTCCACAGTTGGTCCTCTGTAAACCCAGAGGCTGGCTTTCTCTTGCATTTCCTCAAGTTTCTGTTATCCGGAGGCTCAGAGGACCTCCCTCCCACCAACCTGTGACTTCCTACCAAGGTCGGCAGGGGGATGATTTGCATCCAAGGTGTTTTGGCTTTGATGGAGCCTCGGTAGCTGGAGGAGAGGCTGCAGGCAGACAGGGGCCCGGGAGGTGTGCGGGCAGTGGGGTCAGCTGGCAGCTCCCCGATTCTCCCAGGGGTGTAGCAGGTGTGTACACCCAGCAAGGCCAAGCTCAAAGTAGGCCAATTTCCAGGAGGAAATAGGCGAAGACGGGCCGCCTGGAGCAAAGAAGTAACCTAATTCAGCAGACACAGAGTGTCTGTGAGAGGAAGGCGGGGGACAGCAAGGGGCGGGCAGGGACCCCAGCCAGGCCGCTGGTAGGAAATAAGGAAAACCAAATTGAGTTGTGAGGGGGACATTCAGAGGGGCACTAGGATCCGAGAGATGGGCTCCAGGAACAGGCTACCTGCGGCTTAAGGAATTAAGCCAAGCAGGCTGGGCTTGTGTCCCGCAGAGAAAGCCACTGTCAGGGAACAACTCCTCCCACTGGGCGGCCGAGCTGCCCGGGCAAAGGGGAGTGGGTTGAGCAGGGCAGGAGCTGCGTGGCACTCTCCATCCCAAACAGAGAAATGATTCCCTAGGCTGTGAGCTGAGATGCAGTTGAGAAGCAAGAACCTCTCTGTGTGTGCTTCCCCAGGGACCCCCATTGACCCCCGTTACCCAGCCAGAAGGGCCGAGGGTCCTTACCAGTTTTTTAAGACAAGAGTTGTAATCAGAGCAGCTATGACCATGATGAGGGAGACGGTGATGGTGATGATCTGATGGACGGCCAAACCTGGAAACAGAGAAGGAGGGGAGCCGTGAAACCAGAGGCATGAGATGAAGGGGCCCAGGAAGGGGCAGGGAGCAGGGACCTGTCCCATCAACCCAGCCCTGAACACAAGGTCCCGTCATGTGTTGAGAAGCCCTGCAGGGGAGCCCACGTTGATGGGGCCTCACGGGACCAGGTCAGGTCGGTTTCCTGCCCACATGCATGTGCTGCCAGATGCAGTGGGTACCAGGGCTGTTCTCACCTGGAGCCAGGGAAGGGAGGCCCTAGCCTGTCCTCTCTCAGGCCCTGAGAAATGACTCAGCCCTTGGACAGCTGTGGCCTTTCTTGCACCTGCTGAGCCCTTCCCCTGGCACAGGTAAGCTCTGTCACCCCTTTCTCTCCTCCCAACCTGGGTAAGTTCTGTTCCTTGTGTCTGGGCACCAGGGAAGCTGGCCTGCTGGTGGGAGCAGGATTTACCTGGACCCAGGAGGAGCCGGGACAGCCCAGGATTTATTGGGAAGGGAGGGAAGAGAGGCACGTGACACTGTTGTAGATTCAGGCACTTGGGTCATTGGAGAGCATCTTCATCTTTCCAGATTCCTCTCCAAGAAGTTCACTGCCAGATGAGCTTCCAGGGAATAAGAGATCCAGGCCCAGAGGGTGATGCTTCCTTAAGTCCCAGAGAAGGATCTGCAGTCTGGCCTCCAGGTCCTGTCTCCTCTTGTGTGTGTTATACACCATGGGGGGAGGAGGCAGGAGAAACAGCAGACAGGGACAGAAGGACTGGCCACTCCTGGAGCAGGGCAGCCACAGCCCCGAATGAGAGTGGTCTGAACCCCACACAAGGGCTAGGATGGCAGAGGACAAGAATTCTGTCCATACTGTCTCTCTGTCCATCCACCCCCATCCCCTTGCATCACCTTTCATCAACCACAGATGCAGGGGTAGGGGAAAAAAGACAGGCTGGCAACACCTCTGATCCCTTCCTGTGTAACTCATCTTTACATCCTTCCTGGGACACTAGGGTTGAATCCTCTGGTCAGTGAGGTCCACCTGGAAGGACTCTGGTCCCGCTCTTCCATCAGCAAGAACCACACCTGAGGAACTGTGAGCTAACAGCCATAAGGAGCTCTGCAGAGAACCCTGCAGGTGGCAGCACCCTGCCCCTGGGAGTGCTGACTCTCTGCCATTCTTTCATCTCTGCCACTCGAGTATCTGTCTCTCTCCACTTCTGATGTCCAGGTGCAAAGGCCCACCCATCACACCTGAGGATCCTGCCAGTCCTGGGGTGAGGACATGGCATGTACGTGGTCCAGCGTGGAGCATCTCAGAGATGCAAGACTTTTTTCTGGCAGCCTCTGAAGGACACAGTCTCACAAACAGATGTTACCTATCCACTGAATATGATCTTCGTGGGGGGAATTGCTAATAAATGATTCAAAGCTGGCATGACCAGAAAACAAGCTCTTCCTGGCTGCCTTTCTTCCGGGCTATTTCTGTTTGCCCTGAGGAATTCCCTTCCTAAGCCCACAGAATAAGCAACACCTGGAAAACCGGAGATGTCATGGGCCTCCCTTCACTCATTCTTTTAGCCATTGATTCAAGAATCACCTATTAAGTACCTACTTCATGCCAAGCAGGGCCAGTTTTGACTAACTCAGTCATGGTGCCTGCCCTCAGGAACAGCTGCTGTGGTGCCCATTTTTAAAAGTGGCAGCGTTCACTGCTGGTTCTGACCAGTGGCTTCCCATACACCTGTGCCCAAAATGTGACAGGTACTGTAAAGCTCTGAGCTGGTTTGCCTTTCCTCTGGGTCTGCCAGATCAGCCTGACAATGGGGTTGAAAGCTACATATGCCAGTAAGGGACCACCCTTAATCTCACCACCAACAAAGTGTCCAGCAGTCTCAGTAATCTCTATATATTCACCAGATTCTTCCTTGAGACCCAACTCAGACTTTGTTGGAAGAGGGAGGTTGACATGGATGTCTAGTTTAATGGATGATCTGGAAAGATGGCTGTTCATTCTTCCCTCACCCTCCATCTACACAATCCTTCTGATTCAGTCAAGAGATGAGGATGCTGTCATGAACAGTATGAGCTCATCCTGCGTCTGTGCTTCTTGTGAAGAGAAGGAGGCTGATGATGGCAATGGTGACTATGATGATACTGATGTTGATGATAGTGATGATGATGATGATGATGGTGACTGTGCTATTGCTGACAGTGACATTGATGACATCAATGACATTGATGATGGAAATGGTAATGGTGGTGATGATAATGGTGATGGTTACAGTGGTGGTAATGTTGATGTTGTTGCTGCTGATGGCCATTGTGGTGTTGCTGTTGGTGATGGTGATTTGATGACAGAAATGGTGATGGTGATTTGATGACAGAAATGGTAATGGTGATTTGATGACAGAAATGGTGATGGTGGTGGTGATGATGACAGTATAGTAGTGATGATGGTAATATGATGCTGGTGATGATGATGGTGGTGATGATGAAAATGGTGATGATGGTGATGTGATGGTGATAGTGGTAATGATGATGTTCCTGCTATTGCTGATGGTGAAAATGGTGATGGTGATGATGTCATTGATGATGATGGTATGCTGGTGATGATGTTAGTGATGATGGTGGTAATGGTGATATGGTGATACTGATAGTGATAATGAAGGTGATGGTGATTATAATGATGTTGGTCATAATGACGGTGATCACAGGCATGCTCAAGTATTAGAAATTGTCAGGTGTGTACTATCTCATTTATTCTTTGCAACAACACTAGAAAGTGCATACTGTCATAATAAATATGGTAGTGAAAATCATCTGGACAAGTTTGTTTAAGTTCCTTGGATCACATAGAACCTGATGGCTCCTAAACCCATACTAAGACCTGTAGTATTATAGGATTTGATCTCAGACTTTATTCGTTTCTGTTTTGGCTTTGATCTGGGGTCTTGCATCTTCCAAGACAGAGGCTGGCACCACTACCCTCTACATTCCTGGGGAGAATAATCTGCTAAATTATGGATGCTGGTGTTTAAGCCTCATCTCTTCCATGGATAGATCTCTTAAGGAGTGCTCTGGACCCATGCCAAGAGCCTCTCAGCCATCTTGGCAGGTCATACTCCCAAGTCCACGGCAAGAACTGAACCATTGTTTCTTGAGCTAAACCTGCCATCTCCTAGGTTAGGAGAATTCAACATCTATGGAATATAAAAGAGCACCCTGAATGGGAGTGAGCCAAAAGTAGTAGGGATTCGGTTCAACTTCAGGCCAAGCCCAGCTAGAGGCACTGAGAGCTCCCTTACAAGAGTAGAGCACTTTGTGGTCCATGCCCCAATGTCTGCAGGGCCAGAGAGGCCCAGGCCACCGCTAGACTTGGACCCCACATACCAAGGGAATTCTTCTGTTGGGTTGGACATCTGCAGTGACCAAAGTCCTTGGAAGGGAAGAGCTCCATGACCAGCTGCATCTTAGATGTTTAATTCCCTCCCACTCCCTCTGTGACTAAGGATGGGGATAAAAGCATTCATTCTCTTCTTCTGGTGAATGGAAGAAACTGATGATCAGAGGGAAAACAGCTGGCTCAAGGAATGCCCTCATTGATGACAGGATGACCAGAAGCCCAGCCCTTTGCCTAAGGTTCTCATGAGTCTTTGAGCCCCTGCAGAAAAAGCCCAATCTTCATCATCTTTATGTCTACCCCTACTCCCAACCACGCACAAACTGCCTGATACAGAACCTTGCAACAGCACTGTGTGACATATTATGAAATTGATAACTGAAAAGGAGAGAACAAAAAGCCAGGGGAACAGGGAGAAAGTTAATGACATAACTCTAATGTTTGCCTTGTTCTAGAGGCCCTTTTCCTGCCTTCTGTGTGAAATTTCTCCATAGGACTTGCCAAGTTAAAATTTGGAAAAAATGATATGTGGGTTAATAACCAGCCAGGATCATCTGGGTGGAAGTACAACAATAATATCATGGCCATGCTCTTTGGAAAGACTTCTCTATGCCTGTCTTCACACCCATGATCAATTTAATCCACTGCCGATTCTGCAGAGCCCGGGTGTAGGCAGTTCTCTACTCTGGAAAAATCAAACGTCAAGCTCCAAACAAACAAATCTGTAACCACATTCTCGGGAATAAAAGTAGTTAGAGGCAAACTCCTTACTGCTCCTCATGTATTTCATTTGCAAAGCAAACAGCCTTGTGCTTCCACGCCTGGCCCGTGGGTTGTGATGGGTTACTGGGTTCAGGCATAAGGGGCTGATGACTACCAGAAGACCCCACAGTCAGGATGGTTGACAAGGACCAGGCCTTTTGATACGTAGTGAGAATGATATTTGTAGGAAGCAGATTAGAAGATGTAAACCCAGTAAGGATGTCTCATCTTTTCCTTTCTTTGAGAGGTCACTCCTAAAAGGATGATAGAACTTCTCATGAGAAGCTGGGTAGTGTTTCAAGAATCTGTCTTATCATTCAGGTTCCCCAAATGCAGAGTTGTTTCCTCATCTGTAAGTCCCTTAAGTCTGCACAGATCCTGGGTAGGCAAAGTTTGACATAAGGAGCCAGATGATAAATACTTTAGGTTTGGCAGGTAGCGTGACCACTGTTGCAGCTTCTCAACCCAGCTGTGGATTATATGCAACCAGTGGGCGTGGCTGTGCGCTAATAAAACTTCATTTGTAAAAACATACAACTGATTTAGGTGAATAGCTGAAGGCGATGTGGCTTATCAGCTAAGAAATATATGATCGGTTTTGAATGGCTGCTTAAAGCTGGGACTCAAACTGCAAACTTCTGGTATTATACAACCTTACTGCTCTATCATCAAAGATCTGGAGTCTTCTGAGACATTCACTGTCACTGTCAAGGTGATTTTAAAGACAGTCAAGCATCTGTCTTATCAAGTGGGGCCAAAACTACCAGCAGTGGGCAGCTTCGCCCTACTGGATACGTTCATGCATAGCTGGCTTGAGAACAGATCACTCTGTGACACTCAATTAAGCA